TAATCGGTGGGGTAGAATACTCTATCGATATCATTAAGTCGACGTTTAACTAAGTAAAAAAATTATTTGATAAAAAAAATGATGAAATATGTGATTGAAAGTTAATAAAAGTTATGGATCCAATAAAATGAATAATTGAAAATTAATTTTGCAGAAATAAAAAGGAATTTTAGAAAATGAATAACAAACATAACTAAAATAGTTTACACTAGTAAAGAAAGACAAAAACTAAAATTTATTTTTTAATATTATTAAATTCTAATCACCTAACATGTCTTATCCACATATAGTTGGAAAAGAAACCTAGGACAATCAATTTGAAAATAAAAAGTTAAAAAGAGGTTGTGGAATTTTGAATTGTCAGGGTTTGGTTAAACGCCACTAACTAGGATAAGGTGGTAGTAGTTAGTTTTATTTTGTTCATCCTAATTTTTGACTTTGTGGTACTAAGCTGCTAATTAATTTCAATAATATTGATAAATGTAAATACTTATTATTCTTTCTTCTCGTTTTTATTTATTTATTGTTTAATTGTAAAGTCGAGAATCAAATTATATGTCTTGATTTTTTTAAGATGAAAATGTTTCAAGGACTCGAGTGGCAAGCAAATATAGCATAACCTCTATAAAATAATAATATTAGAATAAAAAAGTATTAAAGTAGAGAGATTATTAATTATTAATAAATGACTAATTTATTAATTTATTGATAAATTATATGAAGCCATTTTTTAGTCAATACTACAAATTGTGATGGTTATTGAGAGCCTCTTGAATTATTCAAGTGAAAATAATACGATGTTGTAATAACATATTGATAAAGAGATTATTTAAAGATTACTTAATATGCACATTCAATATGTTTTACCAACCATTTCTCAAAAGGGCAAATGCCAAGTTTGAAATGATCGAGACCATTTTTCAAAATGAGCGCAAACGATAGGGATATTATTTTCTAATTATCCTTTCTCAAAAAGACTTTTCAAGCATCACAACCATAGTTATTAAAATCGGATTGGATCGGCTAGTTCGGTTCAAGAATCTAGTCAGTGATTCAATCCAATTGGCTAGCTTTGCTCCATCTTACAATGAAATTGGATAAGAATTGCTCGAACTAGTTCATATCTTTCCTAAATAGGGCGGGTTTAGTTGAACCAAAAATTGAACCGGTTTTATTAAATTGGTACACAAGAAAATTCAATATCAAAGTTGCATGAAGACTCGAACCTACCCTGCCTTGTTGAAACATTAAAGCTTTGACTATAGTGACAAATGTAGAATTGCCATAAGTAATGTAAGCTAAATTTATATATTTAGTTTTATTAGAATGATATAAAATAAAAATTTCACTGTTTTTTTGTTTAATTTTTTAATCAAAATTAAGAACTAACAATGACCCACCGATTGAACCACTGACTCCCGATTGAACCGTTGACTCAGTGATCCGATGACTTTTCCGGATTGATGGCTGAATTGGGTCCGATTACTATGATCATAACCTTAAAATAAGGAAAGATGTTGAGTTTGTTCGAGTGCAAAGAAAAAGCAAGAATCTTTAGAATCATATTTTAAGAGCAAAATTGAAATCAGAAAATAAATTTCTTCAAATAAAAAGCTGCTTATCTAACTAATTATTAATGTATATTTTCGTTGGACCATTAAGAATTTTGAATAAAATTACTATCTTATGCATTTAGCAAGATTATTAATCTAATACACTAATTCAAGTTGGAATCGAAAAATTTATTACTTCAATAAGATTATTAATTTATCGAAATTTTAGTTGAGTCTCATAATCATTGGCTTAAAAATTATCAAAAATTGAATAAGTGTCCAAGTAATTATTTAAAAATAATAAAAATCGTATATTAATATTTTAAAAATTTATGACAAGATATATCAGCTCATATAAATTAATCCAACTTTACTAAATCAACTAACACGTGCCGATTTGAAGAGTTAGAATATCTGCATCTAAAGTGTAACTAGTGAGCTTGGTTTTAGCCCCTCTAATGTCCAAGGTCTTCCCCTCTCCTTTATGTGTTATGGATTAAACGATTAATTATGCTACCTACTTAAGTTAATAACACAAAATGAAAAATGAAAAATGAAAAATGAAAAATAAAAATAAATAAATAAATAAAGGAAAATGTAAACAGTTTAGAGTGAAACCACTTTTTACAATATTTTCTAATCTCACGCTTCTATGTTTCTCTCTAGAATGAAATATTAAGGCAACTTAATGAATAGTGAATATTTTTTAAAATAAAAATGTTGAGTGTACAAGCTGCATTTCACAGGCTCTTTGTAGGCCTTTTCACATGAGATGTGTCTCACCTCGTTAAAAAAATACCCTAAAAAGGCCCCATTCGAGGCGTTGTGAGGAGCCTGTGGTCCCACCCTGACATTGCAGCACTTCTCTTTTTTAGAATATCCCTATATACTTAAAAATTTTGCCACTTCAAATTGAACCATATTTAAAACGAATTCAATTTAATTCAGTTTTACACATCTAACAACAATATATTTAGGCCTTGTTTGGCCTCATTAAAATTTTAATACATTTGTCTCTTTCTTATTTTCAACTACACATTCTTCAATAAAATAATATTACACATAAATTAAAAAAATTCATTATTTTTTAAACGCACATTTTCTAAAAAATTACCATTCCATAATACATTTTACCCAAATTTCTCATTATAACTAGGGCCAAACAAGGGCTTATAAACCCCCATTGACTCTAAATGGTGCCCCACCTACTACCCTCTGGTCCCATCTTATTATTTATTTTAATTTATTTAATTAAAAGATAATAAAGGATTTAGGGATTTCTTTAATTAACTTGTAAAAAATAATTATGCATGAATCTGAGCTTCTAGAACATTGTACATGTATGCACGCAAACTGGAATTGAAGACGTACCTACCACCATATTTTGAAGTCTTTAGAATGTTGTACATTTATTTGACATTGCAACCCTCTGACCAAATCATTAGCGTGTTTAGCAAAAAAGAAATTAATTTTTTTTGGCAGAAATTTCTTTCCATTTGCAAGTTGCAAAGTCGTATGATTTGGCATGATTTTTCATATTTGAAACGAGTAATAATATTATGAAAACGTGATCAACAATTATAAACAATTTAAAAAGTTCGAACTGGTCTTCAATTGAGTCGACACAAGTGGTTCGATTTGATCCCTAATATGAATATTGAAAATGGAATAGTTGAATCGATTGGAAAAAGAATTGGAAGGATCGAAATCGATTAGCTCGATTCAGTACCCTCTTTTTATCAGTTTTGAAAGGGTCTATATTATTATTATTATTATTAAAAAAAAAAAAAAGAAGAAGAAGATGGACATTTAAGATATGTTTTGGCACTTGTTTAACAAGCATTATTTTCAAATTTAATTTTCTAGCTACTTATTTTCAACCACACAGTCACACAATAAAATATTCTACTTCTCGTCTCTTGACGAGCCCTGACCCCAGATCGAAAGGTTATGATTCACTCCGGTGCTGCTTGTTGGCTGCATGCAAACTCAAAAAATTTTCTTACTTTTTAACTACACATTTCTTAAAAATCAATATTTAAAATTTTATTTTTTTCAAATAATAGTTGTCAAAGAGGAGCTTAATAAAACGAGCCAAATGATCAATTTATTCAAATGATTTTGAATGAAAATATCCATCCCTGCTAGGGTCCTTTTAACCATTTTCATTATTGATGGCAAGAAAAAATATATAGCCTATGTTTGGTTGGAATTAAACTCAAATTTTAATAGATTTTGATAAAAAAAAAAAAATTAAATAAATAAAATATATGATTTAAAAGTTGTAGGTTCCAATATAATATATAATTAAAATTAATTGTTGATTTTGATTTAAATTAAAATCTCAATTTTATTTTATATAAAAAAGTCTGTTAAAAACATAATTCTTTTATTTTTATTTATTTATTTATTTGCATCAAAGCTCTGCTTGCACCGTGTTTGCGTTTGACCATTTTGTCTTTGTTATTAAAATATGAAAGTTTTGGTGCGTCGAAAAATCAAAAATCCCGCGTGAAGAAACACGCCACAGAAATGGCCAAACATAATTCATAGGAATTTCTTAATAAATATTTATAATATTTTTCCACGCCATGAAAATAATTAAAAAATTAGTCAAAATTCTACTTGTGAAACCAGTTTTAGAAGAAGAGCGTTTCTTGCAAGCTTCTCCAACACATAAATAAATGGCAATCGAGTTTAGATAAGTCGTTTTCACTAAAATTTTTAAATCATTTTCTGGAAAAAAATAAAAAATAAAAAATAATAAAAAGTGGCAAACACGGTAAAACAGATTTAGCCCCCGTTTGTTTTCCACTTTTTCTTCATTAAAATGAAAAATATAACCGTTATATATCATATCAAGCCACTAAATTTAAATTTCTATCTTTTATATACGGTTCATAACGACTATATTTTTCATTTTCATTTTTATATTAATGTGTACCAAACGGACTCTAAGTGGCATTCCCTTTGAAAGAATGATTTTTCATTTGCTCCGTAATAATTAAAGATTTAAAAACTCAAATTTTTAGTATATTTTAATCAAAATTGATAAAGTGTACAGTGAAAAAATTGTCGATCCTATGAAATGAATGATTTAAAATGAATATGAGGAAAAATGAATTTTGAAAAATGAGGACCAAACGAGAGCTTGGTAGGATGACAAAATATGAATTCTGTAACAATGATTTTCTAGAGAACGTGTGCAAAATTATTTTATTTACAGATAGTGTATTTGAAAATAAATTTGGAAAAAAAAAAAAAAGAATTTTTTTTAACAACGAGGTTAAGAGATTAAGAGGCAGCCAAGTCGTTTTCTATTCAACCAGATCCGTAGACTTATTATTGCTCATTGTTAAAGCTTCCACACCTATACAGAAAAAGTCTCTATCTTTGTGTGTGTATATATATAATAAGGTCTTATAAAAGGAGTCGCATACCTCTATCTCTATGTTGGCTTAGAGAGAGGGTCTTATTTTCTTCATATAAATTCACCACAAACAACTTTTCTTGCGAACCGGTTATTATTTGTTGGGAAATAATGGCAGTGATGAAGAAGAAGAAGAAGACGACGATGAAATGGCAAGACTATTTTCCGAGGTGTTTCAGGGTTGAGAACCCTAATCCAAAGCCCAAAAAACCTGTTTCTAAACAGCCTTCATTTCAGAGGATTTCGTTATCGGATTTAAGCAGTTCAACACTTTCTGAAGATCTATCTATTTCTCTAGCAGGCTCGAATATTCACGTCTTCACTCTTCAAGAGCTGAAAGTGATCACGCAGAATTTCTCGTCAAGCAATTTTCTTGGCGAAGGAGGGTTCGGGCCGGTTCACAAAGGGTTCATTGATGACAAGCTCAGACCGGGTTTGAAGGCTCAGCCAGTGGCTGTAAAGCTCCTCGACTTGGATGGGACACAGGGTCATAGAGAATGGCTGGTATAGTTTAGTTTTGCTGATGAATTTTAAATTATTGAAATATTTCATTGCATGCAATAAGAAAATTTTGTGACATTATAATTTTGTTTGCAACAGACTGAAGTGATTTTTCTTGGGCAATTGAGACATCCAAATTTGGTGAAATTGATAGGATACTGTTGTGAAGAACAACATAGGCTTCTGGTATATGAATATATGCCTCGAGGCAGCCTCGAGAATCAACTCTTCAGAAGTAAGTTCTCTCTTTTGAAAAATATTTTTCGTCTCCGCCTTTCATTTTTATACCTTAGTTCATTTTTTTATAAAAAAATATTACATACAAATGCAAATTTTTATTTTTTAACCATATATTTTCGGTATATCAAAAAATAGAGGTCTTATATGAGCTGTAATTCACTCATACAAGTTATTGGAATTCAACTAATTAGAAAAAGTCAACGATGTATTTGTTTTCTTCGTGGTGGATATATAGTTGACATTAGATATAAATTTATTTATATAATTTTAAACTTATCAATAATCAATTGCAGATTGAACTAAATTTATACATTTTCTAAGAATCAAAATCATACGCAGGATACTCGGTTTCGCTTCCATGGTTGACAAGAATTAAAATTGCTCTCGAAGCTGCAAAAGGGCTAGCTTTCCTCCATGAAGCTGAGAAACCTGTCATATACCGAGACTTCAAAGCTTCGAATATTTTGTTAGATTCGGTATGTTATTTACATTGAAATAATCTATTTGTACCAAATGTCTTACCTAATTTTTGACCGAAGTGACAAGTGGCGCCCCTCCAATAGAGGGGTGCTTGTCCACTCCAATAAGAGCGCGACACTTGTCAATTTGGTCATCCATTTGGTAAATGATTTGGTACATATAGCATCTCCCATTTACACTCTATACGTATATTAATGTGTATGTATATGACTAAAAGTACTTATCTGACGAACTTGTCTCGTCTTCTTGCCAGGATTACACTGCTAAACTATCAGACTTTGGGCTCGCAAAGGACGGTCCAGAAGGTGATGAGACGCATGTTTCAACGCGGGTTATGGGTACACAAGGTTATGCTGCCCCGGAGTACATCATGACAGGTCATTTGACCGCAGCAAGTGATGTATACAGTTTTGGAGTATTACTATTGGAGCTACTAACAGGAAGAAAATCAGTAGACAAAACCCGTTCGCACAGAGAACAGAACCTGGCGGATTGGGCCAGGCCTATGCTCAAGAATCATAGAAAGTTAAGTCGGATAATGGATCCGAGGCTGGAAGGGCAGTACTCG